GTGAGAATATGGGGGAAACTGGAGCCCCTGTACATTGCTGGGAGGAACCTAAGGTGAGGGGAAACAGTTTGGCAATTCCTCAGAAAGTTAAAACATAGAATGATTATATGACCTAGCAATTCCATGCCAGGTATAAACCCAAGAAACTGAAAAGAGGCACTTAAGCCAATTCAGGACCACCAAGGCACCATAGCCCAAAGGTGGAAACAACTGAAACCTCGTGAGCAGACATCAGGAGAAACAGACATCAGGAGAAACAGACATCAGGAGAAACAGACTGCAGTCTATCCATACAATGAGTCACCCCTAAGTGGAAGGAAGTACCAAGACTCGTTAGCATGTAAATGAACCTCGAAAACACGATCCTAAATCAAAGAAGCCAGACACTGGTGCACACCTGTAATCCCAGTGATGTGGGAGTCTGAGGCAGGAGGATTGCAAGTTCCAGGCCAGCCTCAGCAATTTAGCAAGGCCCTCAGCAACTTAGAGAGACCCTATCTCAAAATAAAAAATAAAAAGGGTGGGGGATGTGGTTCTGTGGTTAAGTGCTCCTGGGTTCAATCCCCAGTACCAAAAGGAAAAAAAAAAAAAGCCAGATACAAAAGGCCACATATTGTATGATTATATTTATATGAAATATCTGGAAGAATAATTTAATCCAGAGACAAAATGCAAATCGGTGGTGGTGGTTGCCAGGGAATGGTGGGCCCAGGAATGGGAACAGCAACTTAATGGGATCAACCACCTTTGGAGTGTTAAAGATGTTTTGAAACTACCTGGAGATGGTGGATGCACAACAGCGTGAATGTCATAGATGCCACTCAATTGTTTACTTCAAAATTTTGCCTGGTGTGGTGGTGCATCCTGTAATCCCAGTGGCTCAAGGGACTGAGGCTGGAGGATCTTGAGTTCAAGCCAGCCTCAGCAAAAGTGAGATGCTAAGCAACTCCATGAGACCCTGTCTCTAAATAAAATACAAAATAGGACTGGGGAATGTGGCTCAATGGCCTAGCGCCCCTGAGTTCAATCCCCGATACCCACTTCCCCAAAAAAGTTGATTTTATAAAGCTATGTGCACATCAGCTCAATTTATTTTTTTTTTTAAATTGCAAACTCCATAAGAGCACTTGTCTAGAAATAAATTATGCTGCATCAAACAGAATGGTATATGGCTGTTAAAAATTCAAGGACATTTTAATGATGTGGGGAAATATTTACAATATAACACTATTTACAATAAAACACTAATGGAATGAAAATTGTATATGCAACACTATGCCAATTATGTTAAATAAAAGGTGCACAGAAGAATATATAAAAAATACTAAAATGTTTGTAATTAAAAGATTCTTACTTTCACTAAGTACCTGCTAAGCACTGTGCACAGGAAGCCAGGTGAATGGGACTCCTGGGGCAGAAGCCTGGGGTCTGGGAGAATGGCCTTGGTCTAGAGAGAGAGGCAAGGTCAGCACAGCTGGGTTCTTCTCTCTTCTCTGCACCAGTCTCCCTGGGCGGCCCACCCAGGGCTAAGCACTCCTCTCATAAAGGGTATGGAGACAGAGTGCCCTTCTGAGAGTCTGCCAGCTCTCAGTGTTTTCCTCAGGAGACACCTACCTACGTGCCCAAAGCCATCCATCCTCAAAGACCTCAGCGATGTTGTTTTAGTGAGCACTGGGACCACCCCATGTCCATCAACAGGGAAGGAGAAAAAATGCAGGAAGGTCCTCTGATGGCACCAGGCAGTTAGAAGAAACGAACTGGACCTCTGTTTCCCATCCTGGAGAGACCCTGACAATTTAATGACCAATCAAGGGGAAAGAAAAGGAAACTGCAGACTCTCACAGTTTATAGTACTTACGTTCAATAGTTCCCCCTTACCCACAATTTAGTTCTCTACAGTTTCAGTTACCTGCACCAACAACAATCTGAAAATATTAAATGGAAAAATTCTAGAAATAAACAATTCTTTTTTTGGTACCAAGAATTGAACCCAGGGGCACTCAACCACTGAGCCACACCCCCAGCCCTATTTGGTATTTCATTTAGAGACAGGGTCTCACTGAGTTGCTAAGCACCTTGCCATTGAGGCTGGCTTTGAACTCACGGTCCTCCTATCTCAGCCTTCTGAGCCGCTGGGATTACAAGCGTGTGCCACCAGGCCTGGCTAGAAATAAACAATTCTTAACTTTCAAATGGTGTTCACTTTTGAATAGCATGATGAAATCTACACTACCTACCTCCCTGCATCCATGAGGGAAAGTGAATGATTCAATTCCTTTGTCCAGTGTATTCCTGCTACATATACTACCCACCCATTCGTCATTTCGTGTTTTTTTTTTTTTTGTACCAGGTATTGAACCCAGGGGTGCTTTACCCCTAAGCCACATCCCTAACATTTTTTATATTTTTATTTTGAGAAGGGGTCTCACTAGGTTGCCTACAACTTTGGTAAATTGCTGAGGCTGGCTTCAAATCTGCAATCCTCCTGCTTCAGGCTCCTGAGCCAATGGGATTATAGGTGTGCACCTTGAGCCTGGCTTCTTTAGTTTTTTTTTTTTTTTTTTTTGATCGAACCCAGGGCCTTGTGCATGCAAGGCAAGCACTCTACCAACTGAGCTGTATCCCCAGCCCGCTTCTTTGGTTTTGATTATTGTCAGATCAACTGTGATGGTGCCACAGTACTTGTGTTGAAGTAACTTTTTTTTTTTTTTTTTTGTACTTAAGAGTAAACCCAGGGACACTTTACCATTGAACTACATCTCCAGCCCCCTTTCTAAAGATTTTTAAATTTTGAGACAGGGTCTTGCTAAATTGCTGAGGATCTAAGTTTCTGAGACTGGCCTAGAGCTTGTGATCCTCCTGCCTCAGCCTCCCGTGTCACTGGAATTACAATCACGCACCGGGACACCTGTCAAGTAACTCTTATTTTACTTAAATGGCCCCAAAGCAGCAGAATACAGATGCTGGCAATTCAGATCTGCCCAAGAGAAGTCGTAAATTAATGAATCTGTAGGATTCAGTGTTATCCACCGTTCCAGGCATCTACTGAGGGTCTTGGAATGCATCCCTTGTGGATTAAGGAGCGCTGCTGTAGGTCTCCAAAACAGAAACAACTCTAGGCATTCTTCTGTGTTCCTACAGGTGCAATAAATCTTAAAGCGAAAACCAGAAGGACTGCAATCCACAGCACTGGTTGCCTCCGGGGATGGAAACAGGACTGAGGGACGCAGGGTGGGGGCTTAAATTGTATGTTTAGTGATTTTATTTTTTAAAAATACAAAGCATACAGGACAAGATGCTGACATCTGTTAATTCTGGGTGATGGATTCCTGGGGTAGTTACTGTATCACCCCCCTTTGCTTTTCTGTGTTTTAACACCATGCAACCACACCCCTGCCCACACTCCCTCCAAAAAAGGAGAAGGAAGGGAAAAAAAAAAAAACATGAAATAAGGTAACATCTCTACTGTGGTCCTTCTGTGCCCGCCAAGTGGTTCTGAAAGTGGGGTCCCTGGGCAGCATCAGCATCCCCTGCAAATGAAAATTCTCAGTGTCTTGGACCATATCTTCTGAATCAGAATCTCTCGTGTCAGGGCTGGCATTGAGGGTTTTTTTTTAAATATATTTTTTTAGTTGGACAGTTATTTTATTTATTCACTTATATATGGTGCTGAGAATTGAACCCAGTGCCTCACCTGTGCTAGGCAAGCGCTCTACCACTGAGCCACAACCCCAGCATTATGATGAATGAGGACCCAAGTTTGAGAACCATTGGGCCAGACCTATGAGCAATCCATGTGACAATACCCCCCCCACACTAAACACCGTGCTCGGAGAGCTTTTCCTTCAGTACTTAATCTAGTCTTCACAGTGACCTCAGGAAGGAGCATTCCCAATCCAAAATCTGAAACTTTTTGAGTACTGACGCGACACCATAAATGGAGAATTCCACAAATGGCCTCAGGAGACCCGATCACCATCAAAACCTGGGTGCACTCAAAATATTGTACCAGTTCCCTTCAGGCTATGTGTTCATGAAACATACATGAATTTCACTTGTAGACTTGGGCCTCCTCCTCCCCCAGGGTATCTCATCCCGTATTTGCAAATAGTCAAAAATCTGGAAATATCTGAAATCCAAAAAACACTTCTGGATTTTCAGATAAAGGATACTCAGGCTTGTATGATTATGACCATCCCCACCAGATGGTTATGGAAACTGAGGCACAGAAAATGCAAATACCTTGCCCAGGGTCCAATAGACAATTTGCTCCGGAGTCCTGCCGCCCTGCCCACTACACTGTCTCCCATCCATCACCTCGCAGATACTCGAGCTGCCTTGAAAGGAAGACAAAATAGCCCATTTTACAGGCGAGGAAACTGGAATTTAGAGAGGAGGAGAGTGACTTGCCCAAGGTCTCACAGAGTTGATCCTGGAGGCAGGTTGTGGGCCTTGACCTAGAGGCCTGCTGGGGGTCGGAGCCGGTGGCACCGAGTACGGGTGAGGAGGAGGACTGAGCTTGGAGATCCAGCTGCAGCGCCGCCTGGGTGTGTCTCTCACGCCACGCCTGTGCCCAGCTGCCCCAGTGCCCACGCTGGCTGCCAACCCAGCGTAACCCACCCCCCCTGGGAACCGTCAGGGCCTTCCCCTCGGGGCTTCTCTTTTTCTTTTTCTTTTGCAGAAGGGGAACCTGGACGGTCCAGAGAAATAGCAGCTCCAGCAAAAAGTCACTCCACAGTCCAAACTTCCCGCTTCTCTGCCGATCCCAGGTTCGCAGCTAGGCGGCGGCCTTCCACCCTCACCTGGTCACCGACACTGGCCGGCGACCCCTCCTCCCGAGACCTCTCGGCCGCTCCCCTGACGTTCCCTTCTCCCCTCACTGCCCCCAGCTGCACCCATCGAGAGCCTAGCCCGCAACCCCAGGCTCCCCGCGCCCAGCCAAGAGCCAGCGGAGCTCACGGTCCAAGTGGCCCCCAGCCCCGGTCGGTCGCAGCACTCACCTGGGCGCCCGCTCTTCTTCTCGCGGGCAGCCCGGATCCTCGCAGCTCGAGCGCCCCCCCAGCTCGGCAGCTCCCGGGGCCCGGGGCACCCGAGCCCAGAAGAAGATGAGCTGACGGTGGAGAGCAAGAGGCTGGGGCCACTCCGGGGGCGGCGGCTTCGGCCTCGCGGGTTCTCTTAGGCTCTCCCAGCTCTGGACTGTCCGGTCCCACTCGCCTCTAAACCTACTCTGCGCCCCCGGGCTGGAACCAAGAACCCGGTGGCGCCCGCAGGCCATCTGGAAGCCTAAGCCGCGCCCTGAGCGATGCAAACCCCGCCCCCAAAGTGTCCTGCCACCACCCTCTAAGATTAACCCAGCCCAGGGATCACAACCTGTTCCCCAGGGTTCCTAAGCCGAGTTCTCCTGCTCCCAGTGTCCTCATCGCACCTCCAGTGATCTTTTTAAGAACCCCACCCATCGGAGACTTCTAACTGCCCCCAAGGACGTTAACCCCGTCCCTGGGGGACCCCAAGCGCCACAGACCCCCGAACCCAACTCCCACCCTCCTCTTTCCCAGTTTCCAACGCTTCCCCTTTTATATATTCCCTTCCCCCGGATTTTCCAAACCTGAGTCCAAAGAATTCTAACCCAGCCTCCAGTGATTTCTAACCCGCTGGTCCAAGAACCCCAGGACCCGTCTCCTCCTCCCAAGATCCTAATCCTGCCCCCCACAAAGGATTTTTTTGCTTTCACATCTACATCTGAAGGATTTTTAACTGCCCCTTTCCCCAAAGATTCTAATCCAGCCAACCAAGAATCCTAGCCCCTGTCTTCAAAGGATTCTAACTAAGTCCAGTGCCCTGGCACACACCTGAAATCGCTACCACTGGAGAGGCTGAAGCAGGAGGATCTCAAATTTGAGGCCAGTCTGGGCGATTTAGCAAGGCCTTGTCTAAAAAATAATCCAACAAATAAAACAAAAGGACTGTGGGTGTAGGAGAGACTGTTGCAATCCCTGGTCTGAAAACAACACAAAACACCAACCAACCAAACAAAAGCCCCCCAAACTAACCCTGTTCTCAAGATTTATAACCCTAACCTCGAGGACTTTTTTGGGGGGTGAGGTGGGGGGCATGGGCATTGAACCCAGGGACTCTTAACAACTAAGCAACATCTCCAGCTTTTTTTTTTTTTTTTTTTTAGACAGGGTCTCCATAGATTGCTCAGTGGCTCGCTAAGTCGCTGAGGCTGGCTTTGAACTCACCATCCTCCTGCCGCAGCCCCCCACCCCCACCCCCAGCTGCTGGGATTACAGGCCTTCCTCCCCAGCCCAGGTTACTGACCTGGGGACTCCTCTAATTGCTCCTGGCTGATTCTCCAATTCCTTCTGCCCCAAGAGGTTTATTGAATCTCCAGGATTCTAACCCTCACCACCCCAAAATCTCAACCTGGCCCTGTAGGGACTCTGACCTCTCCTGTTGAAGGATTCCTGGCCTCTCTTACTCTACCGCCTCCTCACTGTTAGAGGAGTCTGCCCCACTCCCAAATTTTCTGTTCTGTTTCTCGAATTCCAATTTCTCCCTTCTCACCTGGCCCCTCCCCCACTGTGTGGTTAGCGGCCCCTCCCCCCTCCCAGCGCTATTCAAATGCCATGCAAAGTCCTGCCCACAGGGACCTCCTGGGGTCCTCCTGGCCAAGGTTCAGGACAACTCAAGGACTTCCCAAATTGACCGGGGAGAGAGGGCTTGACTGCAGGTGACAGAATCCCCAAGTGGATTAGATGTGCCCAGCTCCCGGGAAGATAAGGGCTGTGTCACCCGTGGAACACACCTCCAAAACCTACAGGAGTCCTCCCGCGCCTGTCTCTGTGTTTCCACTGCTGTCGGCCCATCCAGGTCACCATGGTCTCTCCTTCATGCACTTAAGATGCGTCCATTCGGTGCTGGGCTCTGCTCCGGAGGCTGGTCTGCAGGGCTTCTCAGACTCAGCTCCGTGGACATTTGGCTGCATAATTCATTATCGTGGACCATCCTGAGCGTAGTGGGATGTTTAATAGCTCTCCTGGGCTGTGCGCACCAGGAACCAGTAGCACCCCTTTCCCCATTTGTGACAACCAAAGATGTATCCATACATGCCAAATGTCCCCTGAGCTGGCAGAACCATGAAAAAGAAAGACAAGACCTTTTATGAGTTCCGTAAATGAGCTTGACTATATACACAGATAGATTATATATGTGTGTATGTGCATATAGGCCCTTTTAAAAATAGGCAATATTGTGAATGTGTGTTCAGTTTACTTGAGTGGCACTTACTCAACTTGTTCTTCTCACTCGTCACAGTTGCTGATATGTAGCCAGCTGTGGATGGGACCCCGGTGGAGTCCTTGTTTACACCCTCCCCATTTTTTTGTCCTTCACTTTCTAGGTCACGGACACCCAGGCTGCACACCATGTCTAACTACTGTAAATGATGCCACGGGGACATTCTCACACGCATCCCCTGAGGGACTCAGGTGAGAATTTTGCAAAGACTTGTTTTGCCACGAGTGACAGGAACCTGCAGGATGGCCACTGTCCTGCTCTCTCTCCTGCCATTTCCCCATACCTTTACCAACCCTTGGTGTCTGTCGTCCACTGGGCCTAATTTGTGTTCCTCAGACACAGACCCTGGTCACGGATTGACATGGCAGTAGGGGACAGTGGCTTAGGAGACAGAAAACGCTGGTCGGGCAGTGGGAGGATGAGAGAGAAGGGGAGGGAGGGAGCCTTACCAGCGCGGTTCCACTGGGGGCAACTGGATGAGCCAGAGTATCCAGTGTAGGGTCCCACCTGGGAGGAGGGAGCTGGGCCTGTCTACACCGACTCCCTCCCGTCAGGCACTGGAGAGGGCTAGTGGAGGGCATCAGTCCTGTGGCATTGCCAGCCTGCTGCCTGCTCCCCCAGTCACCAGAGCCTCCAAGGGGAGCAAGGCAGGTCCTGGGACGGGGCGTCTGCATCAGCCACCAGCAAAGGGCCACAGAGAGCTGAGACGTCGTCCTCTTCAAGGACAATTGACCCATATTCTTTACTATTAATGTTGCAATCAAATCCTTGTACGTGTTCCCAGAGCTCCTATCAACTTTATTGTAGCAGAATTCTTTTCCTGTTTTTGTTTTGTTTTTCCTTTTGTACCAGGGATTGAACCCAGAGGCACTCTACCACGGAGCCCCATCCCCATCCCTTTTGATTTTTTATTTGAGACAGAGTCTCCGTAAGTTGCTTAGGGCCTTGCTAAGTTGCTGAGACTGGTTTTCTGGTCTTCCTGCCTCAGCTTCCTGAGTCGCTAGGATTACAGGTGTGTGCTACTGTGCCTGACCAGCATAATTAAAAAAATTTTTTTTGTAGTTTTATATAGACAGAATGCTGTTATTTTATTTGTTTCACGTTTTTAATGTGGTGCTAAGGATCAAACCCAGTGCCTCATATAGGTGAGGCAGGCGCTCTGCCACTGAGCTATAGCCCCAGCCCTAGCATAATTTTTATAAATAAAAAGTACCATAATAAATATTCAGCTTGATGAGTTTTGACAAATATATACCTCTGTAACTAATCATCACCCCAATCAAGATATAGAACATTTCCATTATCCAGAAACAGTCCCTTACAGTCTATTACAGTCAACTTGTCCCACCCTTAGGTGGCCTGAGGTAACAGGGCATTGATTGGCCTTTTTGTCATTATAGATTAACCTTGTCCTGTCTAGAATTTTACATAAAAGCATTCGTATGTATTTATTTAATATTTATCTTCTTTCACTTGCTTTTGAGGTTTTCTAAATTGTCTCACTTTCCACTAGTTTGTTCCTTTTCAAGGCTGAGTAGTATTCCATTATATAGATGTGCCACTGTCAGTTTATTCATTTACTTGTTGATGGGCCTTTGGGTTGTCTTTGGTTTTTGTTGGGTAAATAAAGCTGCTATGTATAAGTCTTTGTATGGATATATTTTTATTTCTATTGAGTAAATACTTAGAATTGTTGGATCATAGAGTAAGTGTATGTTAATAAAATTCATAATAAAATCCACAACTAATGTGCAAGTTTATAATAAACTGTGTATGTTTAACTTCACAATAGACTGTTTTCAAAGAGGTTATATCACTCTGTGTTTCCATTATCAATGTGTGATTTCCAGTTGTTCCACATCCTTGCCAACATTTGATATTGTCATTCCTTTCTAAAAAATTTTTTTCTAGTTGTAGATGGACACAACACCTTTATTTCATTTATTTAAGTCTATGTGGTGCTGAGGGTGAAACCCAGTGCCTCACACGTGCCAGGTGAGCGTTCTACCACTGAGCCACAACCCTAGCCCCTGTTATTCTTTTTAATGAAAAAAAATTTCTCCTCTAACTTTGATATTTGCTTCAAAGAACATTTGTATAATTATGGATTTTATTCTAAAACACTGGTCTTTGGAGTGACAACATTTTTTTCTATTCATTCATTCATTTCTTGTCCTAGGATATATAGCTGGTCACAGAGGTGGAGCTCAACACTGCATCCTGAGTCAGACTGGAGTTCTCACCTTGGCTTGCCATCTGCCACCTGGGTGATAGTGTGCAACCCAGGTCACCTCTCCGAGCTGGTTGCTTCATCTGTCAAGAGGGAATAAAATTAATGCTTACCCTAGAAGGTCATTGCAAAAATCAAATGTAAGTGAAAATTGCTTAGGCACAGTATGTGTAGCCAATTTCCTTTTGTTGTTGTTTGTTTGTTTTGTTGGCAAAGAACTCAGGAGCACTTAACCACTGAACCACATCCCCAGCCGTTTATTTCTTTATTTAGTCTTTTTATTTAGGGGCAGAGTCTCATTAAGTTGCTTATGGCCCCACTAAGTACCTGAGGCTGGCTTTGAGTTGTCCTGCCTCAGCCTCAGGAGCCGCTGGGGTGACAGGGAAGTGCCACGTACCTGGCTAGATAGGCAGTGTCTTCAGTGGAACCTCTGACTATGTCATTAAGTTTTACACTGTTGCTTGGACGTTGAGTCCAGCACACTTTGGAAGTCACCTCTGGTGCAACCTGCCTTGTTCCAAAGAAGAAATAGATTTTTTTTTTTTAAGTATTTTCCTTCAGTTAATGGATCCTTTTGACCATGGATACAAAGAACCTGGAATGACTTTAGCTGGGCCTGAAGTCAGGTGATCTCAGTGGGTCCCAGGGCAGGACTCTTGTCCCCCTTCCCCGCGTTTGCAGCCTGAGCATGGCATTTGGTGACTCTGATTCTCTCGGTCCACAAACATTTATCGAGCACCTTCTGAG